ATGGTTTTGGATGTGTTCATAAATGGTCTCCCTAAGACAATTTCATCATAAATAGCGGGGCTACCCGCTCCTATGTCAAGTACATAAAAGTCTACAAGGAACACTAATCCGTTCACTTGAATCAAAACATCCTCTACCATCCCTTTAGGGGGTACATCATGCCCATCCGTTAATTGGATAAGTGAATTGGACACTTTCAAGGGACCGATATTCAAACAGTTAAAAATCGACAATGGCATGATGTTTATAGTCGAGCCTAAGTCTAAGATGGCCTTGTCAATGTCAAAATCGCCTATCTTACATGGAATAGAAAACTCACCTGGATCCTCGCATTTAGATGGTAGATTTGGTCGCACGACCCTTAAGGTGTCTTCTACTTCAACAACTTTCTCTTCTTTCTCCGCAATGGCTTCTTACTCATCATCACCATCTACTTCTTGAACTGTTTGAGATATGTCTTCAATCTTCTCGGGAGTCGCTTCCAACTTGTACTCCTTCTTTACTTGTCTAAACCTCTCGGGAAACAATGGTGGAATGGAAAATTCGGATGTGTCCTCTTCAATAACATTTCTCATTCTTGCTCTACCAGCTTTCTTCTCACTCTTCAAGGTCATCATACTCACATTCAACTTCAGAGGTGTTTCCATTTGGGAGGGCAGTTTCCCTCGAGATTCCAATCGGCTCACAGCAGTTGCAAGCTGTGTCATTTGAGCTCCCAAATTTTGAATACTAGCCTTCGTTTTCTGTTGGAATTGAAGAGTGTTAGTTGCTAGATTTTTAACAATGTCTTCAAGGGACATACCTGAGCCACTAGAATTAGCTTGATTTGGGTTGAATGGAGCTCCTTGTTGAAACTGTTGTTGTGGCGGCCTTTGAACAAAATTATGGAATTGAGGAGGTCTTTGGTTGCCAAAGGTATTGTTAAAATACATTTGTTGTTGTGGCTGACCTTGGAAACCTCCTACCGCGTTCACATCTTCGCCCGTCACAAACACATCTTCTTGAAGTTGCGGGCACGCATCGGTTGGATGGCCCGTTCCTAAATAGATACCACAAGCTTTCACCTGCTCTTTTTCTACTACAAGCTGCTTAACCATGTTAGTAAGATCAAATAAGCGACTTTCAATACTAGAAACATTGACCTCATTCGCCTTTTGTGGCTCTCTTCTCATGTCACTCCTAACACTAAAGTGTTGGGAGTTTTCGGCCATAGTGCTAATTAGAGCTCTAACCTCGGTTAGGGTCTTATTAAACATGGCTCCGCCACTTGCGGCATCAATCAACTTCCTATCCAAAGGAAGGAGTCCCTCATAGAAATATTGTAGAAGCAATTGGTCCGAGATCCCGTGTTGTGGGCAACTCACACAAAGATGCTTGAATCTCTCCCAATATTCATGGAGAGTCTCAACATCTCGTTGCTTAATGCTATAAATCTCTCTACGGAGGTTAGTGGCTCGGGAGGCGGGAAAGAATTTATCTAGAAATAACCTCGCCATTTGGTTCCAAGTCGTTACCGAACTGGGCGGTAACGAATAGAGCCAATCCGTAGCATGGTCCTTTAAAGAGAAAGGGAATGCCTTTAACTTTATAAGGTCCTCGGAAACCTCATTGGGTTTCATGCTTAGACAGACAACATGAAATTCTTTTAAGTGCTTATTCGGGTCCTCATTTTCTAAACCATGATAAGTAGGTAAGAGATGGACCAAACCAGTCTTTAGAACAAAATTATCGTTACCTTGAGGATACCTGATGCATATAGGAACCTGAGCAACGTCTTGTGTCGCGAGCTCTCGGAGAGTCCGCTCCTCCATTTCTTCTGTCTTGACTTCCAACTCGTCTTCCTTTTTCTTTTTTAGCTTTTCTTCTTTTTCGTCGCCCGAATCGCTAGAGAGGTCAATATCTTGCCAGATATTTACTCCCGGTGACGAAGTTCCCTCGCCTAACCTCTTTCGAAGTTTGGCTTGTTTCCTAAGTCTTTTTGCGGTTCGTTCGATTTCTAAGTCTAATGATAAAGGTGAACCTCCACGAGAAGATCTTGGCATACAAGGTTAAATGCACCGAGTCCCCAGCAGCGGCGCCAAAAATTTGACCGATGCCGAGTCTGACAAATAATAAGTTCCAACTACGGAAAATTACAACCAAAATTGTAATAGCGGTAAGTCGGTTCGATTCCACAGAGACTCGGTTTCAACTTATTATAGCCAAACTAATCAAGTACAAGTTG